TTACCTCTACACTATCAATGCCTTTCCTAATAATAGTTGCGTGTTGAAATCTGCTCTGGCCTTATTGCTCTTCCAGTCATCTAATTGCATGGGGCTGAAAATGGCAATTAGTAGATCAAACAAAAATAGCACTTTTCAGTTGTTTACTTGCTAGGCTGTAAAAAACTCAAACCAAAAATGTACACCTGCCTTTGCTAACAGTTCTACCTATAGTATCCTCTCAACAGGCTTACATTCAAGAGAGTAATAAATTTGATTTTAAAATGATTGAAAGGTCCAAGATAACAGACTGCTAGTGATTCCAGTGGATCTTGCACCCGTTCCTCCAATCTTTGCTAATAATGTGCAGTTAGCAATGAATTTTTAATGGAGGCTTTTGAAAGCAATTGCTTCAGAAGCAGCTTGGTTTGTTTCAAAAGATCATAGATTGTATACACTGGGAATAGATTAAAGTACTGCATAGATCACGTAGGCTGCTGTCGTGTCTCGTGTAGCTAATCGTGTCTCTAGTCTTCTGGTCTACATCCATTCAAAAAATGCTGTGCAAACAAGGATGCTGACTTTTCAAAAACAGTCCCCTGGGCAGGATTTATCTCACCTGTCTTTGGATAGTCACAAATTTGGCATGCCCTGTAAATGGGTTGTCAGGTGCAACATCCCACTGCAGTTGCACTTCCAGCACCAATACATCCAGCCTCCCCAGAACACATGACATGGATGGAATGAGTCTCCTGCCAAGGGGCCTCACTGCTTTGCTCAGTTCAAGGAGTTTAACCTTCTCAACCCAACACTTTCCCCACTTCAATCGATCTATATGGTGAGGTGGGTTATCACAGGCAGACCCATGCACAGCCATTCTACTTCATGGACCGGGGCCAGCTCACCCCAAATACTGGGGGCAAATCAATGCATGGCAGCATAAGCAAGAAGGGCAGCTTGTCCCAGGCACCAGGAAGGGGGTCATTTTCTTAAGGGCAGGGGGCTGCTCCTGATTTTTGGTCAGACACCTTATCATAGAATCATAGAATCATTTGGGTTGGAAGGGACCTCCGAAATCATCAAGTCCAACTCTTGATCCACTACCGCTGTGGTTGCTAGACCATGGCATTAACTGCCACATCCAGTCTTATCTTAAAAACATCCAGGGACGGAGAATCCACCACCTCCCTGGGCAGCCCATTCCAATGCCTGATTACCCTCTCTGTAAAGAATTTCTTCCTAATATCCAACCTAAACCTCCCCTGGCACAGCTTAAGACCATGCCCTGTTGTCTTATGTTCATATGCAACACCCCTCTCAGGGCAGTGAGACCCACGAGAAGATCCAGCCAGGCAGTAAAAAACATGAGCCTCATTGAGGGTACCAGGGCAGCCTCTGGGCATCTGCTGCAGTGCAGCATCTTACTCCAGGCTCTACACAGTATCCAAACAAGAGTGTCTCTCCTTCTTTTTGTTGTCCAGTTTAAAATGGTCTGCCACAGAGACACAGATTTCCAGAGCTGCTGAAGACACTCGGATATCTACTCCCTCTCCGCCATGATGAGCAGCTGGTATCTAAATCCCATGGGTCTGAAAATCCCAGCTTAAAAATCCCTAAATACCTTCATCCACATATCTCTTGGAAAACCAGACCAGGGCTTCAGCCTCTCACCTTATGGTCGTGTAAGCACAGGTCACAGGGAAGCAGAGCTGCCCACACAGAGAGAAATCACCTACTGTGTTTTAAAAAAGAAAAGCCAAATTCTCTTCCATGACCCCGAGCAGTTTAAAATCAGTTTGGTTTATGGTCAACCTCATGATCCAAATAGGTTTTGATTTTTTGTAAGAAGTGCACAATAGCTTAGGGAATATGTTCAGAAATAGCACAGCTCTTATCAAAGGACATTTCATCCAAAGGGACACTCTTAAGACTGGTGGCTGCCCAGTTATAAAATTCCCTCCACAAAGAAAGAAAGGCAGCCTTTGTTTAAAAAGTGTCTGTAGCATTCAAAAAATCAAACTGGTTCACATGAAGATTAGAAGAGCCTTAAAATTAAAGTCCTTGTATAAATAGTCTGCAGTTCAGGCCCTTTGTGTCTAATGGTGTTGATGGTCCTTCATTTTAATAACTGTAAAGAGCAAAACTACACTGCCACTGCAGACAACATTGCTAAATGAATAATGTAGTTAATTCGTAGAAAACATGGAAATATTTTCAGGTACAGAAGACAGAAAACATTTAAAAGCCAGTACACAATACAGCACCAGAAAGGGCTTCAGTTGCCCTTATTAAAAAATAAAAACAAAATTTTAAAAAGGAAAAAATTAGTCTGGCATTGATTACAGAACAAAACTGAGACTAGTACAAATGGCCCAAATTATGACAGTTTGGTGACATCCCCACTGCTGTGTAAAACAGGGGCAGGAACTGACTGGGCAGGTTTGCTCTTTTGGCCATATATCTTCTCCAGCTCTAGCTCATGTCACATTGGCCTTAAGACATTCTGGTATGTTTTCATAGCCCTCAAAAATCTTCGTGTGTTTTCTTCCTCCGGATTGTGGGAAATAACACAAAGATCACCCTGCACCACTGAGATGCTTTTAGTCTGACTGGCACTGTGTGTGTGTGGCCTCAGAGGAGGAGGAGGAGGCAAAAGTACTGGTGCGTGAGAGAGAAGTGCAACTCCACATAGCGATTTCATATTTCTCCCAAAGTCAGAGTGCCAGACAGCTAAATCAGAGTGTCACGCATCGATTCGTGCGTCTGGAAGCTGAACACACATGGCACGCAATGTCTCAGCAGGAATGTGTGACTGGCACACTTTTGTTTTATCACAGTTAGGGGACGCACAAAATACACATTTATACATGTACGTGTGAACCACGGACATCTCTCAGAAGCAGGATACTGATGTGTGGAGAGAGCAAGACTGTCAGCACTTTTAGAGCTTGAGTCAAACCGTCAGGAGCTGGATCCTCTCAAAATGGATGGAGCTACTCTGATCTACACACACTTAAGATCTGGCTCTTAGAATAAAATATTCTTTCTACAAGTCTGAAGAGGGAGCTTAAGTCCTTTTCTGAAAAGGGCCCCTTTTCCTAAATGTAAGAAAACACGATGCAGATGGTTACCCTGTGCTGACCACCAGAATTAGGCCTACTCTCTGTAACACCCACTTGGGGGTGCTGTGGCTGTCAATGGCAGGGTAGGCACCATGGGATCACCATCCCTATTAGATGGGAAGTACCTACACCAGAGGCTTGCATATCCTACATTAGGAGAAGTCTAACTAAGCCTGACTCACCTTTGAGCTTGTATCATGGAAGCAGGCAGTCACTGGAAAACAGTTTACCCAAGAGGTGGGACACCTCCTGTGAAGCTTTGGCTTCACCTCCTGTGAGCTGCATACACACTGCTAAGCAAAACGAGCAGAGGAAAGCCAGACTTCAGTACATCTGCACTTTCAGATTGTGGCATACCCAGGCCCTTAAGTATTGTTATGGTGTTTAATGTTATGATCTTAGTATGCTAGGTCTCACTATGTGAAGTATGGGTGGTTTCTACCCAAAGGAGCTTTTGTTTCCTGGCCCAGGTATCCCTGCATTGGTCTGCAATCTCTAACTGCAGCTTGCCCACACCTCAGAGTGTTTCTTTAGTAAGAGCAAGCACTGACAAAGGTTAAGAGTTTTCTTAATATACAATGATTAAAGAAAGTTTCTTAGTAAGACTCTGATTAAGGTAAGTTAAGCCAATTTTTCTCTTTAATCTTTAAGATAGGTAAATCACACCCTCCCACTCTGATCCTGCAAAGATACTCAAGAGCTAACTCCAGGTCAGTAGAGCTCAGGGGCTCTCCTTGTCCTCCTGCTGCAGAGATGTCTGAGCCCCAGCACTCATTAGGGCTTCCACACACAGACAGATGCTGTGCCAGTATCGATGCCCGGAGGTTACCCTTTTCTAAAGACTTGCACGTGCAAAATGAGACAACGTGTTATAATTTAAAAGTTAAACTGCTCCGAGGCAAGCTGAGATGGCTCTTTGTTTCCTAATTAATAAAAACAGTACACACAGTACTGGGGAAAATCAGGATGGAGTTAACTGTCCTTGCCAGCTGTGTGCTGTGAAAAGCGCCCGCCTTTCCCCAGCGCTCAAGCTCTTCTCCAAGCACAGAGGTGAAAGGACCTGTGCTCCAGTCTGTCCCGGTGAGCATCTCCTTGGGGTTGCATCAGGCTGCAGTCTCCACCACTGCCTTTGTACCTGCTCGGGAGGAGGCACAGACTGCTATTTCTCCCCGGCTCCGCTGTTGCTGCCTCTGTGGTCTCCTTGGTTACCCATCCAGGGGACGATGGTAAAGTGGTGATGCCTCTCCCGCGCTGGCAGGGAAAAGCTCCTCTCCCGAGGTTAAAGCCTGTGGAAAGGCTCCTGAGGGACAGGGTTTCCCACTTAAGGGGCTTTTCTGCTCCCCTCGAAACGCACTGCTCCGCCTGCTGCCGCAAGCAGGACCGGGGCTTTCTTTCAGTGCTTATGAGGTTGCTCGTCTCCGGGAGGAAGCAGCTAAACCGATCCTCCTCGCTTCGAAGGAAATTATGAAAACTCACGGTGAGCCAAGAAAGAAAAAGATAATTTTGGCGCTGGTTCCACTGGGGCTCGAACCCAGGACCTTCTGCGTGTAAAGCAGACGTGATAACCACTACACTATGGAACCGCCACACGCGTTAACGGCCGCGGCACTGCCCCTATCGACGAGACGCCGGCCGTGCTTCCCTCCCTTGGTGAGCAGGGAAGGTTCTTGTTTTCTTTTTAATCGCTGGTTGATTAAAAACAGTTCTAGTAATCAAAAATTACCCTAATGAGTTTCCTGCCCCTCACACAGCTACAGAGGGGCAGTGAAGGGCATAAATCACCTCAGTAGCTCCAGGTAAGGCTTCTGTGCCCCTGCGTGCTGGGGCAGGCGCGGGCCCCGCTCTGCCCCACCGAACACGGCCTGCAAGGGCAGGTAACAAGCCCAGGGAACGAGGGCTGCGTTACATACAGCCTTAGGCGGGTGCTGTGGGCACTCCTTTCCCCTGCATATATTCGATACATGCGGTACCGAATCCATTCTTTGCCTTCGGATCGTGTGCTCCTCACGTCATTGCCTCCGGCCCCGCTTCGGAAAGGGCTGGCAATCCTTCCTGCGCATCCTGCTGCTCCCAGGATTCGCCCGGCTGAGCTGTTCTCCCAGACAAGTGGAGCACAAAGGTCGCTGGCCTAGCGTGTCACACCAGGTTGGCCCAAGCGCGGGAGAGGCGGGCTGAGCTCCGTGAGAGGTGCAGCAGAACCCCCGCTGCTCCGGGGGAGCCCGGCTGCGTGGATTTCGTGTACGCCAGTCGTGGGAAGGCGCCTCGCTGCTTTCTGCGAGGTGTTCCAGCTCTTTTCAGCGGGGGAGGAAGGTGTAGGTGACTTTCTCGGTACAGAAGGCCTTTTCAAAAGAATAACGCAGTGAGAGAAAAGGCAGAGCCTGGCATTTGTGTCAGTGACGCCCTGGAGGAAGCTGTTGCGCGGTGCCTTAATGGATCTAAAAGAGAGACGTTCAATCCCCTCGGGCACAGCACGGGACACGCCTGTGCGTGTTTCTAAAAGGAGTCGTGAAAGCGGGAACATTTGGCTTTCACAATCCGCCCTGGAGAGGACGGAGGGATTTCCCCCCTGTGGCCCCGCCGCCGGCAGGGGGCGCCCCGCGCCCGCGCTCGCCCAGCGCCCTCAGGGCCAGGGCCGGGTCGGGCTGTGCCGGGAACAACTGCGGGACTGGATCTTTCCTGTTCGCTGCCCATCCGCATCAGGTATCCATTCACCCAGGAACCTTATGCCATCCGTTACACCCCACAATAATTGCCTTCTTTCATCTGTTACGTTTTACCTGGAGTTTTGCGGTAATTTGAATTACCGCAGTCCTCACCACACTGAACCTCGCCTCATATCCCAAAGGGAGTGAGTGGCTTGTAGGAGCACAGATTAAGTTACTTGCACAATGTTTACAGGACTGTGGTTAAAAGTTACAAACAGAATTTGAAATATAAAAGATAAGTTTGTGAATTTTCAGAAATGTGGGGCCTGTAAGCAAAACAGTGGGGTGTTTGTGGCTAAATATCATGGTTGGCTTGACTACCGAAATTAATATCATTTTGCTGAAACAGCAGATTTCTTTACTGTAACAAAATAAAAAATATTGTCCTTTTGTCATTAGAAGCACTTTAATAAGGATAAGATGAAAATAGAGGTGAAGAAAATTATTTCCATAGACTTGCCGATGCCTTACTAAGTATGAGATGGTTTCACATAGTAGTTGGTAGCATCCAATCTTTCAAAAAACAGGTGTTTTTTTTTTAAATTCTTTTACATACTGATCATTAGTGTGTGCATCAAATCTGTGTACCCTCCTGACCTGGAGAGCCTGATTTAACCCAGAAGGTGCCTTTTGGGAAGAAACAATCTGGTTGGCTTGAGGCATCAGGAGTGCATTATCTGTGCAGCTTATGGTTCACCAGACCAACAAAATGCAGATCAGGCTGTTGTTAGGGAATTCTTATGCCCATTTCTTTTTTCTTATGTTTCTTTACTAAGATCTGTCAAAACCTGAGCGCTGTAGATAGCTATCCTTTCTATAAGCTCTAAGTGGAGGTTGAAGCTAATGTAATGGAGGTAGACTTGTGCAAATTAGGTCATTAGTCACTGCTTCCCAAAATAATCTGCATTCATCTGATAATTTGGGAAAATTTCCTTTTTTAAAAAAAATTGTTTTAATTTTTTTACAGCAGGTATCCTGATGCTTTCATAGTGTTCTGGTCTGGTTTCTTGGCCTTCAGGAGCTTTGAGGCCCTACCACTGCCTTTCTTTCACATTTCTGATTTTGTGTGCTTTTTACCAAAGATGCTAATTTTGATGTCTTTTTTTCACCTTCTCACCCAGAATTGTCAGTGGGGGGACATTTCTTTCTCTTTTTGCACAAATTAACCTACTCCTTCTAATGTGTGAGCACAGATTTCTGTCATCTTACTGAGAGTTTAAAATTGTTCTGGATATTTATTTCTTTCTTCATTTTTTCTATTCTTTTTTTTTGCTTTTTGTTTGGGACTGGACATCAAAGTCTCTTAGTCAGGGACTTGTCCCCTGGCTATTACTTTAAAACACTTTGCTGGGTCACATAAAAATATTTCTTTGACCTTGGTAGGGCAAGAGGAGGGGAAATCACGGTCAGAGCTTAGAAGGAGCACATTCACTTCAACTATGATTATCTTCAGTCTTTTTGAAAAATATCAGTTACATCACTTTGTAGTGGGTGCTTCTGAGAAATAAGCCTAAAGCAGAATTTGAATTATGTATGTGGAATGCCTGCATGAAGGCTTGCTCAGGAGGTTAATGTTTCTAAAGTATTTGGAAAACAGAATGTATGCCATTACATCACGAAGGGCTGCCTGTAAAGGGATGTCCCAGTTTCTACACTAGCAACATAACCGGGTTTTTCCTTGTCATGCTAGACTGATCAACCACATATTGTCAGAATTTGTTGGCCTACTCCCTGTTACAGCTGTTGATGCTAAAACTCTTTTCAGCAAATTAAATGTGCCTGTGATACATGACTGCTGAGCAAAAAAGCAGCAGTATGTGTGACCTCGTTGGTGGGACTGGTATGTTCTCTTTGCCTTTGTAGAAAGGAAAATGGCGTTGTTTGGTACGGCCTATCTCCTTGGACTTGAACAGGAAAGGTTAATTTGGAAAGCACATTTGTGTTTCCTCAATTTGCATGTTATTGTGATCCCCATAGGTAACTGGAGAGGTGGCTCAGTCCAGCAAGACTGACTCTTTATCAGGTTGCTTGGTCACGTCAGATCATTGAGACAGAGGATGGAGGACTTCTGTGAGTAACGAAAGAAAATATGCAGTGGAGATTTTATGTCCTAAAGAACCTAACTGCTAAGGGTTTGATCCCTCTCCCACTGATCTTGGATGAAATGTTTCTGATGGATTTGTTGGCCATTGGAGCAAACGTTGTAGCCTCTCATTATGCAGAGATCTCGGTAAATGGCAATATAGATGAATTTATCAGGTACAGTAAATGTTTATAAATAATGTGTATCCCAAGAGTGCAGTGGAAAGAGGTTGTGATGTATTTTTGCTTGCATGCATTTTGGCAGAACAGCCTGATCATACATAAATGATTAGCTACTGTAACTCTGATCAGGGAAAATGCATCCTGCCAGAAAAACAAATACCAAAACTCTTCTGGGCCATGCAGAATTATTGCACTTGGTGTGCTTTCCATTTACTGTCTCATCTCAAAGGAGAAGAACAGCTTTGAAAGTGGAAGATTGTGTCTGGGAGTCCAGAACCTTAAAGGACTAGCTCAGTCAATCATATGCCTTCTGCTTTGCTGGTTTGGCATTTTAGATATCTTTTGCACCTTAATAAAGGTCTGTCTCAAAAAAATTTGATCATTCTGTCTTTTACAGTGGTTGTTGATGCCAAAACAGAACTGTCACCAGACTGATGGTAAAAGTTTCCTGAAAATACCATATTATGGTATTATTAGACCTTTGGGGCAGGGGTAGGAGTGTGAAGAGCTTTCTTTGTTTGCTTCTGTTCTCAGAAATCTTTTGCTCCCTATCCAGTCCTGATGGGACTCCATCACCTGGAGAGGTTTCAGAGCAAGAGGCACAGTGATTTCCATCTTGTGCCCATTCACATGGAGCTTTCTCCCACCACAGCATGCTTTGTAATTTTTGGTCCTCTTTGAATCTGCAGGCCCCCTCCCTGGCCCCACAGGAGTGGCTGCTGTGCTCTGTTCCATCACTGTACTGCGGAAAGCAGCCCCTCCCTGGCTTTTGGAGTGGGGTGGCAGGAAAGCCTGGGGGAAAGGTGGCCTGATGAGGGTGAGTGATGCTGAGGACTGGGCCCAAGACTGTACTGGTGATATTACAATATCATACTTCTACTGGCAGCTCCTAGTTTTGAGTGGTTTCTTGGGCTGTGTGTCCAAAATCACAGTGTCCCCATGCTATGGATACACTGCCAGGTGCAGCAGATTGCTCAGGGGCTGTTGTGTTAGCAGTGGGCAGTAACAAATCACCCTGGATGTGATGGCTCTGCCCCTCCCTGGGTACCTGTGCAGTGACGGAGTCAGGGGAGCATGGAGATGAGCTGGGTCAGAGATTTGGGCCCGGCTGCCAGGGGTCAGGGTTTGATGTCAGAGCATGCAAAACCACGTCTTCCTAACCGCACAGGGAAGCAAGGCTGCAGCGTTCTTGGCTTGCCCAATCCCTTCCTAGTAATCACACGAGGAGCAGACGAGCCAAAACATGAACTGAGTCCACAGAGTTCCAATCATGCATTTATGGTGAGAACATGTGCATGCACATGAAGAAATGAAGTGTACAGGCATTAGTGCAGTGCTTCTGAACATAAGATTTGAGTGCTTCATACTTGTCCCGTTATCTGGATTCTGCACCTGGGTTGGGACAACTCTGGATACATGTACAGACTGGGGAATGAGATGCTGGAAGGCAGTGCTGCGGAAAGGAACCTGGGGGTTCTGGTCGATGGGGAGTTGAATATGAGTCAGCAGTGCCCTGGCAACCAGGAGGGCCAACCATATCCTGGGGAACATCAGGCAAAGCATCGCCAGCCGGTCGAGGGAGAGGATTGTCCCGCTCTGCTCTGCACTGGGGCAGCCTCACCTTGAATATTGTGTGCAGTTTTAGGCACCACAATATAGGAAAGATATTAAGCCATTAGAGGGTGTCCAAAGGAGAGCAATGAAGATGGTGAAGGGCCTTGAGGGGAAGCCGTGTAATGAGCAGATGAGGGCACTTGGTCTGTTCTGCCTGGAGAAGAGGAGACCGAGGGGAGACCTCATTGCAGTTACAACTTCCTTGTGAGGGGAAGAGAAGGGACAGACACTGATCTCTTCTCTGGTGACCAGTGACAGGACCCAAGGGAATGGCCTGAAGTTGTGTCAGAGGAGGTTTAGGTTGGATATTAGAGAAAGGTCCTTCACCCAGAGGGTGGTTGGGCACTGGAACAGGCTTCCCAGGGAATTGTTCACAGCACCAAGCCTGACAGAGTTCAAGAAGCATTTGGACAACACTCTCAGGCACATGGTGAGACCCTTGGGGATGGTCCTGGCCAGGGCCAGGATCTGGACTTGATGACCCTTGTGATCTCTCCCAACTCAGCATATTCTGTGATTCAGTATGACTGTTTTGGAGAACATCTATATCACTAGCATGCAGATACAATGCCTTGTGGTAAATGCAGTATTTCTTTCCTTAAGGGTTTTCATAAGCATGCCAGTCACATAGATGACCAAATACCTGGACAGCCTTATGTTTTTTTCTGGTGTGCTGGATCTGCTAAAATGCAAATCATTGCCTCAACACAGCAGAAAGGCCGAAAGAGATCATGTGACTTCAGATGTGAAGCAGGCAACTTCAGCCCATCCCTTTCTCTGCCTGAGATTCAGGAGGCATGGTGACAAAACAGCTCTGCTACAGCACATGTACAGCACAGCTGGAGGGTTGCAGCCATGAACTTTCACACCAATTTGGATGATGAAAACAGCATTTTCCCCTGGCTGTTTCTGAAGAGCAGCGTTCAAGAAATTTCCTCTTGGGAAGCTGTATAAGTAGGTGAAGAGCAAGTGCATTGCAACTCCTGAGCTCCAGAGCCCCAGAGAGAATTGGAGCACCTGTTCTGCAGAGCTGCACCCCTCAGGGTTTGCTTTCTCTTAAAAAAAAGAATCTTCTAAAGGTACTCTTGTAGAAAAAATCTCGGTATTGCTGACACAGAAAGAATAAAAGGTAATGTGTTTGGGTGGGATGTATATATATATTTTTTAACTCACTTTTAAATAGTATATTTACAAACTGACAGTTGAATGTGGCACTATTTATGATTTTACCCTAAGAAAAATCAGTTTGCTTCAAACACTAAAGTCTGACCTGGACTGAATCAGTTATCCAGAACTTCTAAGTACAGGTGAGATCAAATAGTTTTGAGACTACTGTATTCCATGTATTCTGTTTTAGGAAAAATAATTTTTAGGATGATATTTTTTAACCTTGTTCTGATGCTTAACTTAAATTTTATTAAAACCATACCAAAGCATGAATTTAATTTTTAAAGTGGCTCATATTTCAACACATATTTATTCTGAAGCTTTGCTTTTTCAGGATGTAATTAAGACCCTGCTCATTAACTGCAGGACAGTGTGTGATCCAGCTTTTTTGCTTAAAGGGTGTTAACTTTTATGCTCCAGTTGGATCCAGTTTACTAGAACCAACTTTGCTTCAGGATTTTCAGTTTTCTCCTTGTGTCCTGGAGGAATCTCTCCCTAGAGGCATTTAAAATTTCTGGAAAGTGATATGATGGCTTTGCTTATTCTTCAAGGTGATCTGCACCCCATTTGTACACTTGTATTTGATACTCTGCCCCTTTTTAAAAAACATTCTGATCAAAAGTCTTGCACAAAAAAAATGAGGCTGCTTGCTTTGTTTGGTTATTTTCTGTGCAGAAAAGTGAAAATGTTTTGTGTAAATTGTATCCTTTTTTGATTATAAATAACATGAACTGGCATTCTTCCATCTTTTTTCTACAGACTCTTTGGATTTGCATGCAGTTCCTGAACTCAATAATTGCTTGAACAATCTCTGCATGTTCACACCTTTGCTGCTCTTGCTTTTATTTCTTTTTGCAGTGCATTTTTTGCCTCAGGAATATGAGTCCACCTTAAAAAGCTGGTCTGTCTCCATCCTATTCACTTCCAAGCTTTGCTGGCTCTCCTGTATGTTACTACATCCATTCCCTATTGATTCCTGGCCCCAACACTGAACTCTATCAACATGGCCGCTTGATAGAAATTATTCCATCAGTTCTATATTGAGATTGGCCTTGCTTCTCTGAGCAGGCTGAAGAAATTACTGTTAACAAAAAGGCTTTCTTGTTTCTTTATTTCATATATATATAATCACTGGAAGTCCCTCTTAGTTTGTCCCATGGATGTAAAATAATGGAAACCCAAACACATATTGATTTGATGTTTGATGTTCTCATATCAGCCCTTTGGCAGACCAAATTCAGTGATGGTGTCAAAATTACAGCTCTTGTGCCATAGCCAGATTCCATTTCATTCTGCTGCTTTACAGTGGCAGCTTCATCCCACTTTCCACAATATAGGTCTTTTAGCTAATGATATCTTTAACTCATATATAGATTCCCATCCTTGACAATTGTAACAAGACAGTTTGGAAGAGTTGTCCTTGTGCAGGTCCTGACCTGGGTGTTGTCATTTAATGTCTACGTTCTTCTCTCTAGGGTATTTTGCTCTTTCCAGCTTCATTCCCTCAGCAATACACAGAAGCAAATCCATCACAAAACCATGTTATAGCAACTCTCAGTTCTCTGTAGTCCTCATTTCCAAAAGAAAACAATTCTAAAGGAGATCTGTGAGTCACAGTAAACTAAACAATGGATAAGATGGCATCAAAGGAAAGCCTCTGTCATTGGAAGCATCCACCCATCCATCCATCTGATCTTTATGCAGGAAACTGTTCCTGTCCCAGCACCTCTACAACTCCGTGTACCTTCTAAGACATGTTATGAGAGATCATAGCTACCTGTTCACAAATATGATTGAGAAAGGGGTGAGTAGTGCAAGGAGGCACATTGCTGGAGATAGCCATTGAAACAACCTGTAGGGGAAGTAGCATACTTACAGAAACTCCATCCCAACCAAAATAAAAGGAGAAGTCTTTCATTTTTGTTTATCAAAGGTAAGAAACAAATGGAAATATGCAGGAATAAGAACTTAAAACCTAGTGGCTCTTACTCATGTCTCCCATATCCTTAGGCTTGACCTAGCTTATACTTGTCTGCCCATAGCACAGCTCATCTAATTTAAAAGATAAAGTGTGCTTGAAAGGATGGCTCTCTGCCCAAAGGACCTGCTGTCTGATTTCATTAAAAGTCAGCTATAAATCTTTACAAGATTCCTATTATTCTTGAGGCAGCCTGGTCTTTACATGACTGACAAACTGGAGGCATGATTGATTTTGGGCAGCACTTGTTACATATGGATCAAATGATGCTGGTTCATTATCTCTGTAAATCAGGCTCTTGACAGCTTGGGTTCTGAACCCCAAATTTCAGAGTATACCTTCAGCAACTCCTATCCAGAAAAGAGCAGCATGTGCCACTCTGGCTTAGCTTTGTGCATGTCTATTGGCATGATTGCAAAGACACTTTATTTTGCTTCAGTGGATGGGCTGTGTATTCAGAGCCTGTCCATGACAAAATTGCCTTTTTGCTGAACTGAGAGAAATGTAGCAATTTCTTGAAGTTATGTCTAAAACTAGAAGAGATCACTGGCTTGTAGAATTGAATTACTGCCTGCTTTTTAGTCAACATGCCAGATTCTTTCTTAAAGGTAAATCAGTGGTATAGTATCCAGACTGTTAACACAGCACTGTGTCCCAAATTCTCATCCAGCTACCTTGTATCTCTTTCAATACCTTGGTAAAATCCCAGCTTTTTGTTTCATCAGCCAACATTTAGGGGGAATTTTGTGATGGCAAATGATTCTTTGCCAGACACTGCATAGTAAGTAGCTCACAGAAATTACTCTTATGGTCTGGAGTCTGGGCATGCAGGTTGGCAGCCAGGATGTCTCTGTAGACAGCTGAAAAGCCATCAGGAAAAGATAGTTGAATGTTTACTATGTCCATTTTAGAATGCAGATATTTGGGACTGAAGGTGATGATTACTCCCCCGGACAAGCTCACTGATGGCCAGATTTGGTCTTTTTAAGGGGTTTAATGATAGGATATGTTTGTGTAAGTTTTCCTCCAAGCCCTGAGGAATATGTTTCAGTCTTCATTTTCTGCTATCACAATAAAATTTCTGTCTCAGTGTCTCTATCTTTTTATTTCTTTGCTCAAGGAGGTGTTAGAAGTCCATGAGTTTAGAGGTATGTGAAGGAAAGAGTGGAGATGACTGGGAGAAAAGCTTAAGTCATTGAAAGCAGGGTATGAAGGTGATTCAGATCCCCATTCCTTGGGGATCCCCATTCCACAGCCCATTGTTAGCTGTGGTTTGGATGGAGCCCTGAGAGGAATGATAGTTCTGTTTGGGGCTCCCATTTCCCAGTTGCATTGCCTTTAATCAAGACAGTCTCACTGCAGTCTCTTATAGAGACTATAAGTTCTATTCTTCTGGTCACAATTCAAGTCATGGCTGGCTTGTTTGATGGACTAATGAAGACGAGATTCTCCTCAGAGGACAGTGAGGCGATGGTGTACAGGAGAGCAATAATTGTTTGGAGAGAAAACAAATTTGAGCTTTTAGCAAAGTGCCATATTTGATAGTGTCAAAGACTTTGATTGACTCAAAATTAATATAACAGCGCAGCACTTATTTATATTTCATGATAGCTCCTTCAGAGGGAAGTAAAGCAGTTCATTGTGGGGAAAAAAATTAAAATCCTTCTTTTTTGAAATAATTACTGACTCATAAGGTGTGAGTCCCAGCTCAATGTAGGATACTCTTGTATTGTGGGACCCTGAAAAATAGCCCCAGACCTGTAAAGACTTGTGTGATATTAACGTGAAACGACATGACGTCACAGGATATCGTACATAACAATGAATGTAGAAAACTACACATATAGTCCTGCAACTATAAATGTTTTCTAATTATTGAAATTGAAGATCAGCTAGTTATGCATTTGTGGTTTTTTTTGTCTTGTATCCTCCTGTTCATTTTATTTCTGCTAGTAAAGCCAAAGGAAAATAGTAGTTAAGCATTCATTTTATGCTGGTGAATTTCTTCTTTGTTTTAAACCCCAAGTTAAAAGGAATATTAATGAAACAAAACAACAAATGGAATAATTTAGATGTCAGACATGTAACCCTGGAGACAAGGAGAGAGGGGGCAGTGTGATCACATAAGAAATGTTTAGCTAAAACAAAGTTCAGTATCTCAGAGCATCAGTGACTTTCTTGTTACTTAGAAATTGATCCATTTTGTATCTCAGGGGAATTGTATTCCTTTGAATTTGTTGATTAGGGAATGTATTGCATTAGTGAATGATATTACTTAGTGAAGAGCTGAGCAAGTGCCAGGACGAAAACCCAAAAGACTTCACTTCAAAATGTACTTTGTTCATTTATTTAATGAAACAAAATCTTTTCTTTGAATTGTTTCAGTAGAAAAGCAACAGAAAATTGAATGTTTTACTTAAATGAAATCTGATATTGAAGTGATTTGCTATGGCACTGTTTCTCCTGGTAAATTTGGTGGTGGTGACACTGAGGGATAAAGTGATAAATGGGGTGGTAGGGCACCTTTTAAAATCCATAGAGTGTTAGGAGGGCTGAGGGTTAGGGGTTTTTTAGCAGTAGTATCAGATGTAATTTAAAGTCTTTAAAATTCTGCAGTTCCAATTTTCAAATCACAATAATGAAGAGTAACATGACTCTGTAGTCCCTTGTCCCTAGTAGTAAGGCTTTAAATAGCTTTTCTTCTGATTAAGAAATGACTGGTGCACTTTTAGCTAACCTGTTAACCTTAAGCTAACATGTAAGAAGTAAACTGTATTAATTACTGAGTCAAATTCTTTTCAATGGAAGCTGATAGTAATCAGATATGAAAAAGAAACCTAGTATGGTTCATCAGGTCCAGTTTGTGTAGGATGTGCTGTACAATTGTGCTGTAGGTATTTCAGATTCTGTGTTGTCAAACACTTTTGTTTTTTTCTCCTTCTCCCTCCCTCCCAATCTCCTCCCTGGCAGGAGTGCTAGGGAAGAGCCGAGGAGCCTGGAGGGGTATAGTCCTCATCACTGAAGGAACAGCACAGGAAATGTGTGTAATGCTAACAGCTGAGAGGAACATGCTCCATATCAGCAGCAATTAAAACGGATAGGCAGCAGCATTGGAACCATGGGGTGCAACAGATCTGTACCTGACAGAAGGTCAGAGAGAGGTGAGTGTTGCCTTTGTCTTCAGGGCAAGTGGTTGTTCTCTCTGTAACACTAGAAGAGGATTGCAAGGTAACATTTCCCCACAGTTGTGTTGTCAAAATACTCATTCAGAGAAAAATATTTTCTTTTTAAAAGAGTGCGCAGATTGTAGATGCTGGCTGAGGTTGGAAGGCAACTTCAGACCACCTCTAACACCAACAGATTGGATTGTAAAAGATTCACAGCATCTGGGACAGAAGCTAAATTTCAGATGTGTCTGTGCTCACTGTGTCACTGGCAAAGCTTAGAGGGTAAGGTACTGAGGGGGACCTTTTGTGGCCTTTCACACCACAGGATTCCTGGGCAAACTGCCCCAATTTCTCTGCTGGTGGGTGACCCTGATTATGAAAGAAGTGTGATAAAGCAGCACTATTGCAATGACTATCAGAATCAGTTTTCTGGCCTACCAAGTGCCTGGCCTGTCATTCTCCCTCACAATTACTGAGGCTGTCAGTTGAAAGTCTCCACAGTACCTGGTTAAATGTTTAATTAAACTATGCATCCTCCCCCTGCTTTTAATGATACCCCACTCTGGAATGAACACACCAGGCTCTGCACAGGCAGGATTGACTCAAACCTTTTTTCAGATCCTTCGTGTTATCTTTCAAAATTTGTCATTAAAGCACAATTTACAGGTCTGCAGAGAGCCATGTTACATGGCACTGTGTAGTGTCTTAGGACATTATTATGCTGAGCAGCCGTGGTTCAAAAGGAAAGCTCTTTTTGGCTACCAAACCAGGACACAAGTCCCAGTAAACTGGTGTCTACAAAGTAGGGAGCTCTCAGTCATGGCTGCAGGGATCCAAGCTGACTGGTTTAAGAGTAGCCCTCAGCTTTGTGGATGCTACTTGGCGTTCATAGCAGCTTTGATGCTATATGAAAGTAGAATGGAAACATCTGGAGTCACAGACCTACCTGTAACTGGGAGGCAGCCCTTCCTCTTTCGGTTTGCATGCTGTGCATATATGTGCCTTGCAAGGCCTTGGGGATGAGCTACTTGGGAATATTTCTGAGAGCGTATAAGCTTGGAGTGGGCGTGAGAAGCTGTACTCTTTCTCAATCTACAACCATCAACACACATGGATGTGGGGCAGACTTGATTAGCCCAATGATTTTGTGTGCTTGTTGGGCAGTGTTTTGTCTTCTCACTTGCTGGGTGGTTTTCCTTCTATACTTCAGCATTAGTCAAGTGATGCTGAACCATCATTTTATCTGCAGCCTGACGCTGTACAACCCTCTAATGAATTAATAACATGAATTTAACAGGTACTTGCTGGTGTAGAGACCTTCTGCAACTGACAACAATTTTTTTTACAGATGCAGTTTAGCCATGTGTGAAAATCATGTTCTGATTCAGTCCTGAGAATAATAGCACTGCAATAAGTACAATTAAAAAAAAAAGACAGGAAATATTCTGTTAGATTTGCAACATTAACCACAGTGACTGATATGTCTCTGTCTTATGTGATGCCCGTGGAACTGTGCCATGTTAAGTGCTCAGGACCATTAAGCAACGCAGAGGGTTTAATGGGAAGTTTAATGGCTCTGATGCTGGAAATCAGTTTCTATGCTGGTGACTGTGCTTTGGCCCTTTTTCTTCTAAACAGAAACCTTGGTGACAGCCTTGCTGTGATGTGTCAAGCTTTCAGGTCTGTAGTGGTGGGGCATTCCAGAGAGAACAGAAAATAAAAGAAATCTTAGAGTTTATGTAGGGTATGAAGGATGTTCTTAGCCATATAAGGATCACATTTCCTTCGGGCAGAAGGATTTTTCTCGGATGAGTGTGGTATCTACAGGATGGGAGTCTTTACTGATTTTGGTCTTGTCTGGACTAGAAAACTTTACCACTTTAAATATACTGTATACTCATTAATGGTAAAATATGCAAACAATGTGTTGTTATAGCATATGTAAGCATTTTTATAAAAAGGCTTCCTTAATGTTATACATTTATTAATAGACTCACTTTTCCACTGAGGTTTTTCTTTACCTGCGTAATTATCAGTTTAAGAAAAAAAATCATTCTCACTCAGGGGTTCCATTCATCCTAGTCTCAAAATTCCTGCTGATCAGTTAAAATAATTCTTTAGTGTAAACTAGTGTAACTCTAGTACAGAGCTTTTCTTTAGTGTTTTGCAGAGGAAAAAGTATTAGCATGAATTGTTATTTGTTAATAAACTTCTATCTGAGCAGCTAAAGGAATGTGATCTCTCTGTGGCATGAATGGGGCCTGTAGGCAGCAGGCTCTTTCCTCCATGCTCTAGTCCTGGTGATTGTTCTTCAGTGAAGTTTACAGAATTTTTCTAGACTGAGGCAACAGTAGACACAACTTCTTAAAGTGCTGAGTGGAACGTGTATTCAGCACATAGTCAAAAATGCTCTTCTGACATGTTCCATTGAATTCTTGGGAAGTGTTCCTTTGTTCACTAAGCTAGCCAAAGATATACCTGCATGCCTTTTGGCTTGTCTGTTTAAGCAACATATTCTGTCCTTCAATATAATTTGTTAACATTTTATCCTAGTGTTTGAATTTTGATGGCTTGCTGATGCAGCTGTGCAGGAAAAAACTTCCTGGTAGAAGAGGCTGTTGCAAATGTTGTCATTGTGTGATTCATGTTACAGCTTGCAAAATCTGAAGTTTTTTACTGCATCTTTGATAGAGAAATACATTCTGTTGGTAGGCCAAACTGCTCTTCTTCCTTTCCTCACCTTCCCATAACACACATGCTGCCCATCTGCGTCATGGACGACTGACTTCTTATATGGGTACTGTCTTCAGGACAATGAAATGGGGAAGCTTAGTGACATTTTAGGCCTGAGCAAATCAGCTAGTTTGGGATCCGTGTCTGAAGACAGAAACAGTAAAGGCATCATGTATTATCAGGAAACAGCTTTTCAGTCTTAACTTTTACAGGGTTTCATTTTACTGTTTGTTGACTGTGCACAAAGGACTGAATTTGTCATCTGTCTGCAAAATTCTGCCAAGGCAGCATGCGTATTTCCATTGTAGATGACACTGCATCCATGTATAGTGCATTGCCCTCTGTTTTGACAGTCATTAAAGCTGCCATCCTCATCCAGAAGTGGTACCGCGCAACAATGGCCCGGATAGAGATGAGGCGCCGCTGTTCTCTGAGTATCTTCCGGTCAATCGAATATGCTGATGAACAAGATCAACTACAGGTTTGTAATCTTCCATTCTTCCTGTACAAGCAGTTATGTTATCCCCAAAGCACTGAGGTTGCACAAATAAAATGGGGGTGTGGATATTTTTTTCCTACAAAGCTGGATCCTGATTAATAAAACCACTTCTCCTCCTCACATGTGAATTAAGCTGTGTGTACACATACATACATATATGTATATGTGTATAACTACATAGGCATCAGGACACCATTTTGCCCATACAACCATAGGTTAGAGGTTCCTGTAGAGCAGCTCTGGTAGCCAGAGATAGCAGGTCACCACATTGTGAGTGATCTTAACCATGTCTGTGAGGGAATATATGTGCAACAGTGTCTCAGCATGTGAGTCCAGGCTTCCTTTAGGGTCAATACAGGAAATTAGGAATTTCTAGGCCTTTGTGTTCATCATAGCATCTGTGTCTAAAGTCAGTTCACTGCACTGTAGCAGTTGCTTTCTACTGATTATGAAGCAAATCTAAGCAAATAGTCTCGGTGATGGGCAAGTTGAATTACACCCAAAAGTGTCAGCAGCACTAATACAGCCCTGGAACATTTTATGTATTCATATAGTGTCAAGCTGTGAATTCATAGCAAAGAAGGAAAGAGAGACAGCTATTTCTGTAGTAGGACACCATTTGTGTCATTATTGCAGGCTGATGCTATGGGAATATACAGTAGTGTCTTAGATCCCCCAAAATGGGAAATTGCTAGTAATTGAGTGAGGAAAGAGAATGTTAATGCTTGTTGGATCCCCTAAACTGATCAGTGTGTTTGTTCTTTTCTTTTTCTTACTCAGCTGTCCAAGTTTTTTTCATTCATGCTGGATCACTATACTAATCTTGATTCAGGTAAGGATAAACATAAAAGTAATATGGAGATTCTGTTTGAAAAACCTGATGTGAGGAAAGTTAATTTTGAACGTGATGTTTACAGCCTATGGCACGTGCTGAGGTTGAGGTTTGACTTGCCAAATACTGTAATATGAGTTTGATCGTGTAAGTGTTGACACTGCTCAATATCTACTCAGTGAGTCAAGATGTAAGTCAGAAGAGGTACCTGTTGTCGTTATGAGAATAGTCAGAGATGCTCAGAGTGCTTTCTTATATGTTACTGCCCTTCAGCTTTTCTCATGCTAGTCCTATGGACTCCAATTTTCACGGCTTTCTATTCATGTTTTCTTAAACTATGAGATGTGATTATTCAGAAAGGCTGTCTTCAGTTGGTTGAGGGCAGATGTAATCAAAGAGGTTGCCTTCAAAGAGGCTGCTCTTCTCCTTTTTCATCTTTTTGTTTGTTTTGTTTTTTGTTATTCTTTCAGCAGTTCTGGACCACTTTTTAATTTAATTTGTTCTAGATATCTCTGCAAAACATGTATCAGTATGTGAATTATTAAAAATGAAATAAATTTAAACTGCTGCAGATAAATCTTTAGAAACCATCAAACTTCAGTTATTCAAAGAATAACCTTTAATTTTTGAAGTATTTTGGGATCCTTGGACAAAACTGACTTTTGAGGTCAAACTCAACAGAAGGACAGACTGAAAGGGATTCCTAAGTCCAGAAAACAAACATGACTTCCCTGGATAAATTCAGAATAGATCTTATCTCAGAGGAGTTAAAAATGAGGCTGTCTCCTTCTTATTGCATTACAAGAGAATGCCCTTTCTCTTTCATCTGGTCCAGCCACGGGTTTTTCCTATTAAAATTTGCACAAGATACTTTGATAGCAGGATAAAACCACCATCAAAACCATAAGTGGTTCAGTGTTCTAATGATAACCAGTAGAAATGGCAATTCTTCTTTCTTAAATACTTTAGAGTCCCTAATGCTCTCTGTGCTCTGCAAAAAAATAAATTACTTTGAGCCTTGCTCCAAAGTCAAGGCAGATGACACAATAGTCCTTTCTTTGATTTTTTTTCCCCCCATTACTGCTGTATTCTTAAAAAAAAAAAAATCTGCTTTAGTCATTTAACTTCCTGGGAAAGAGTTGGGAAACTTAAAGAAAATCAGACACTGCTCACTTTATCTATTTATTTGTGCTGATAGTGCACCTCTGTTCAGCTTTTCCACCTGAGTGGGAAAGAAAATAGTAGTGCTAGGTCTGAGATTTGGAAAAACAGTGTTAATCTCTATTTCATTATAATATTCAGATAAAATTTTACAGCTGCTTGTTGTAGATATGATTTATCCATCTGTATTAACTCTGTTTACTGACAGAAGGAACAAAGGTGAGGTGCCAGGTGACTTGCTAGGGCTCAGGACACGGCTGGTGCAGGGCACACTGCTACATGCATAGGCTGTTTCTGTGCAGGTGGATATCCAAGCCTCACCTTCACAGGGGTGGAGGTGGAGGGTACTGTGGGCTGCCCCTTGTCACCACTGCACTGGTGAACTGGTCGTGTAGATACTGGAAACTGTGGATGTGGTTAAGGGTTTATGGTAAAGTGTCCCTTTGTCTTACTTGCTTAAAACTTTCATCTGTTAGGACTGACATTGTTAAGATTTGATAACTGCTCCAAAGGCTTTATTTTTTGTCTTGGTTTGTTATTTCCCCTTTCCAACACCCTGTGTTATAGATCCCAAAATGAAAGAGAAAAATTCTGTAAGGTGCATATTTAATAGAGAGATGGCCAAGGCTGCCTATGCAAGGGAGCTGACTTAGATTTTCTTCGAGAAATTGCATATCAAATGTGTTTTGTGTGGGTTGTGGTTATGTTGTCCAACTACTGGCTGTGTGCATTCTTTACTTTAAGCTCTTGATTGCTTGCCTCTGGAAGTGACCTTTGCAGCACCCAAGCTAGCCCCACTGATATAAGCAAAACCAGTGCTGAATAGAGTGTTCTTAAGGAGCTGCTTCCACTTCTGCTGAATCACCGTCTTAAGATGTGAACCACAGTGAACGTAAACATAACAAGCAGAGAGGCTTCAAATTGACTTTGTTATTCCCAAGCATTTTCTAAACCCCACAATTCTCTGGCTTTTTTTTTTTTAATCAGTGTATGCTCATTTAAATTAGAGTGATAGCATGTGGTTCAAAAACCATCTCCAAGAAGACAGTATATAATCTTTTTACCAGGGAATAGGTTGCCTGTTCTTCCCAGTATGTGATGAGAAAGCTATCTGAAAATTTTGTGATCTGTGGTTTTCCTTACAATATAAACCACTCAATCTCCAGTATTCATCTTGTCACTTTCCTCTTTTTAATCTTTCTTCAGATTATGTTTTTCAAAGAGAGAAAGCAGACACTATCTCATTAACACAGTAGTGCTTTTGATGTGATTGTTTATCTGTTATACCCTACAGCTTTTTTCATCCTCTCATTCTCCTTAAGATGTCAGTACAGTTTGTGATTGGGATATTATATAGCTGAGTGTCTTGTTCTGTTTCTTATTAAAGGCTATTTTGCAAGGATTTGTGGGAAGTAAGAATAAAAACCTTTTCTGCTTATGCTTTTCTCCCTCCTTTCCCCCAAAAAATCTTCATACCTACTCAGACTTTAAATGGAAGGTTCTCTGGTCAGAGAAAGCTGGAAACTGTCTTTACAGCAAAAGGTGACCCATTTACTCACTCTTTTGTGGGCACATTGAGGGTGAGAAGGCTGCAAACACATCCAGGAAAAAATGGTGGGACTGAGAATCTAAGACATTACTGGCTGTACCTCTCAAGGTCACCAGGACAAGAACCACACTTCCTGGAGCCCTTCTTCAAAGGGAAACAAAAAAAACCAGTGTTGTTTTCTGCAGTTTCACTCCCCATGATGCCTTCCTTACAGCTTTAACACCCTGCCAAGATTTTTTGCATAGAGTGATTCTCGCAGTGGGGAATAAGTTACAGCTGCTTGCAGCTTATAGTGATAATGGAGTGAAGGAATAAATGTTTAAAGTGTTATAGAAATCTTCATCTTTGTAGTCTCAAGGACCATTTGGCTTTGACCTGATGGCTGTGGATCAGTATCTGTCATAGGTAAGAGCACTTCTCAGGAGTCAGAGGTGCTCTCAGTACCTTGATGGTTAATCTGAAGGCACACAGATGGTGGCAGAACAGAGAACTGATTTCAGAGCTGCAGAAGTAGCTGATTCCCCGTTACCCCAATAGTGACTGTCTAGTGAGGGTAATAGTGGTACCCTTGGCAGTGGTGGCTCTGACTTGCCTCAAACAACTTCCCTGGTGAGGTGTCTTGTCAGGAGAACCAGGTCCTTGGGCTTTCTGTGGCCAAACTGACTCCACTTAGCTCTGGGCTTTCATGTTTAACATGGAATATGGCTGTAGGGTAGTTGTAAGGGGTCTGTTAATAGTGAAGGCTCAACTCACTGAGCTTGAGCTAGACCTCTGATGTCAGAGTACAAAGCAGGTCATTGCCTGTGCTCCCTGTAGCCAGTGGAGAGATGAAGGTGCTGGCAGAGGGTGTTTCCTTCTGTCTTGATGCATGTACCTGAGCTAGACATGCCAAGACTTTTCATCCTTGTGTTTCAGTACAAACCGAAAGAGCTTTGACAGCTTTGACTACAATACTATGGGTGCTGCCTGAATTTGTGTCACGGGAGCTTTAGGTTGGATATTAGAAAAAGGTTCTTCACCCAGAGGGTGGCTGGGCAATGGAACAGGCTCCCCGGGGAAGTGGTCACAGCACCAAGCCTGACAGAGTTCAAGAAGCATTCAGACAATGCTCTCAGGCACAGGGTGTGACTCTTGGGGATGGTCCTGTGCAGGGGTAAGGGTTGGACTTGATGATCCTCGTGGGTCCCTTCCAACTCAGCATATTCTGTGATTCTGTGAATCCTTCAGATTTAGTCCTGCACAGAGCGTGTGATGAGCTGGGGTACTCATTGGCCAGCGTGCAAATCCCCAGGCTGCATTAGGTCATCCATTACAGACCACTCTGAGATGAGACAGTCATCCTGTGCAGGAAGAAGCCTTAAAATAGGTGAAAGACTGCCTGAGGAGATGTAAGTGCACTCTAAGGGTAATGACCATGACTGGCTTTTGACAACTCATCCAAAAGTGCAAAATGGGGTGTACTTTGCAGAGATATGCTCTGCAGGGAAGGAGACTGGGTTTCCCAGCCTAGGCATTTGCCAAAATGGAAGGGAGACTTCAAGGAAGGCAAGTTCATGTTCAGAGGGGAAGTGATGGATAAGACTGCTTCATGCAGGAAGGGAAGGCAGGAGTAGAATCAGGCATGGGCAGGTATCTGCCAGGCTTGAAATACTGAGAAGACCACTGAATCTGAAGTAGTCATGTCAGATGAGGAGAGCCTCTGGCTAAAACAGGCAAGAAATGAGGAATTTGGGTTGTCTGAGGAGTTGGCTTCATGGTCTGCAGCCACGCACTTCCTGAGAGGTTGGGTGCAGAGGGAGATGCCATCCAGAGACTGCTGCCAGAGCGAGAACAAGAGCTGGTGCAAGTGTGCCTGGCTGATCACTGGGTGTGAACCAGCAATTTCAGTCCATAGGGGACGTTTAGTTGTCTGGCCAGACAAAGCTGTAACTGTGGTGGAAAACTGCAAATCAAACTGTACTTGGTGGAAACGGTGAGCCCTGAGCACCCTGCTGTCACCTGATGCCTTAATCTGTTTACATGGATGAGTGTAACATTACATTAGCACTAAATGTGCTAATCAGCTCACAGCAGAAGCGCTGATAAAAAGGTGGGTCTTTTTAATCCAGGGTGTATTTTTATGAATTAATTTATTTATTTAATATGGATTTTATCCAGTTGCAAGACAAGTTGGCCTTTATGAATTTCATAATTTAGGAGGCCACATGCTGGTTTTGGCTGCTGTGAGTTTTGAGTCATAGCTACAGGTATTCCTCCAGCAATAAATAATACATATTTATTTCCAGTTGAAATCAAGTTGCAGAAAACTCACCTGTAGCCCAGCAAAAGGTGTTTACAACAATCATCTCACAAGAGCAACTCTGCAACAGTAGCTGTTAGAACACTTTCCTCTAGGGTCTGGTTTTCTCTTTTAGAATAATGTATGACAAAGACAATCTACAAGAAGAAAACACTGAAATCTACTGTTCACTCAGATACATTTCCAGGGTATGTCAAGAAAATACTGGATTGAAGCAATTAGCAATGTTCCTGATTTCTCCATGTTCTAGGAAAATTAGAAGCTATGCTCTACTTTCACCACTCAACTTTTGTTTACTTTATTTCATCCATTGGTTTCATGGCAGCCGACCAAAAGCTGGAATTGTTTCCTAGTTGTATCAGCAAGGAGTGATTTGCAATCCAGTGTGAAAAAATGGGATCTTGTTGGTGACTTTTAAAATAATCCCTGACATGCTGCTATTTAGCCTAAAAATTTTACTTGGAAAATAAAGCAATAGAAATGAATCTTCACAACCTGTATTAAAAGTGTAATATTGAACTTTAAACAGATGATGGTCATGGAATGATCAGCCATGACTTTTGTATCTCCTTGCTTCGGGGGGGAAGGAGAAGGAAGTCTGTACCAGGTGATGGTTCTCACTACCTATGGGAGCAGACTCCTCCAGAACTTCAGTGCAGAATGTTTTGCACCCTGATCACAGCTACTGGCTGTTGGAACAGAGTTTTTTTCCTGTTTTTTCATTTGGTTGGGTTTGGGTTTTTTTGTCTTGGTTTTGGGGTGTTTGGTTGGTTGGTTTTAGTATTGCAAAACAATCTGGGGAGACCTGGAGCTCTTCCACTACACAAGGCAGGAATTAGGCACTATAATACTGCACCAATTAAAGCAGTTACATTCAGTCACTTCTGGTCATGCTGTTACAGCTCTATGGGGACTGGTACAGTTTCTACATTTTTGTTTTTCTTCCCTCTTGTTCCAGTCTCTCCCATTTCCACCAGCCCTAGTGATCCTCAGGTGGTGTATGAATGCTTACATATAACAGAATTTGAAGAGAAAATGGATGTTCCAGACTCATATTATGGGCCACGACTCTCATTCCCCCTTACTGTTGGAGATGCCAATGCTCTTATTCATGCTTTCAGGAATAAACAGGTAAATTGCAACTAGCTTGATTTCTTTTTACTTATTTTACATCTCTGTCAAGATGTAGTTCCACAATCCAATGTATGGCTTAACTCATGCCCAAAGAGATATTTCACCCTTCCTTTACACCCCATTACCCTTTCCTGCTAGGCCCATGTGATCATACAGGTGCATGGTGAGCTGTCTTGGGAAGCTGATCTGGCTGGAAGCTAACACAATAAAATGAGAGCAGTCAGTTCTCAGCCAGACCAGTTCCTAGATTTGATTCACTGCTTTGCTGCATGACCACTAGGTCCAGCACTGGGGAGGAAGTAGGGACTAGTGAAATGGAATGGGAACCCTTAGCAGCTGCAAGGCAGGGGTTAGCAGTGAGAGTGGAGGACTGGGGAAGGAGTCCTAAGCTAACATAGAAACTATCATCTTTTTCTAGGTTAAAAGTGCTCCTTGTTTGGTCCTCTTTCTTTTGTTCCCCACCTCATTCTTTATAGAGGCATTGAGGTGTAAGGGTTAATCACCTCATTCTAGTGTCCAAGACTCCACTGTAACAGTAGAGCGACTATAAAGCATTGCTAATGTAGCAGAACAGAGTGATACCACAAATCTCCAGAGCTTCCCATCTGCAGCTTCCAGGGCACTGAGAAGGCTGTTCCTGATTCTCTATATTCCTGAGCAAGCCCTTTTGCTGCCCACTCCCAACATGAGGGTGGAGCAGGGAGGCATTACATGCATGGCACAGCTTTGTTTGAACTTATGATTATTTGTGCGTTACAATATGTTGTATGTAAGGGATAAAGGTCTATCTTGCCTTTCAATTTGCTAAATAATACTACTTTTTTCCTGTAATTTTCTGTGGAGGCTGATTGTAAAAGTATCACATATAAAGCGCAAGATAAATGAGCTCACCCAGACCTCACCTTACTGTCTGCTCTCCCTTTATTTACTGTGGTTGGCATTTTATTAGGGAAAGGATTATATGTGACTGGCCTTTTCTGTTTGCTTTAAAAACATGAATCTTGAAAAGTCAGTCTGTCACTCATCTATCTCCTCTACCAAAATTCCTCAGATCTCTGTGGAAACAGTACACTATAAATAAAATGGGAAAATATGTAAAGCAAGTTTGTTAAGGGCTCTATATCCATTCATGGGGAAGTAAATGCAAAGCTATGAACGTTCCTAATTCCCAGCACTAAGCCATACAGCCTGTAATCGTGTCTGGAGGTCTGTAGTATAAATAATCTTGGCAATACATGTCTGATATTATTAAAGCAGAGAGATCTATTGCTAAATCTAAGAAGTTTTCCTTTTATACCTGCCTTTTTTTTTCCCAGCGGCTTCATCCCCACTATGTACTGCAGCTACTATGTGAAACCAGGAGAGTTCTCAAGTTGATGCCAAATATCACCCATCTTTCAACTTCCTACTCCAAGGATATAACTGTCTGTGGTAAGGTGCCAGAGAAGATAAATGCTTTGGGCTATGGATTGATATTCTAAGTGGCCAGAGAATGATACAGACATTTCCAAATTTTGCCATTACAAGAAAGTTCTTGATGCTTTCATTTATTTGTTTGTTTTCCCCACAAATGCATAAATTGGAACAAACAAAAATAAAGTTCCTGAGTCATACTAAGTATATTTTAAGAAAGTCCCTCACCTCCTCTTTCCTTTTCTTGTTTAACATTTCCGAGTCAGTAGTCATTCAGCTAACACTGCACTGTAGCTTAAATACTCCTGCACTTCCACCTCTAAAATGCCACCAAGTATTTTGATTGCTGCAAGTCTCACCTCTCTCTTCTCTCATTCAGAAAAAGATCTTGCCATCATAATTTACTCTGTAATGATTTTAATAAGGGCTTAATATGGGTGGCAAAAAAGGCCTTTAATTGACAGCATGACTTTCTCGAATAAATTGAAATTATAATAAACCCTGATTTCTGAGGAGACCCAAGAGGATGGATCAGTCTTTATACAACCAACAAATTAGTCTCACAGAATGATGTGATGTGTACACAGTAAAGAACTAAGAGCTCATTGCCCATCTATTTTGCTATACTTTCGTAAATTATGAATAATGGGATGCAGTATCCTGACTCACCACAGAACACAGTGGCTCCAAAACAGTAATGGTGACATAACTCTTGACAGCTATCAGCATGTGCTGTGTGTAATAGTAAAGTAGTATAAGGAAGGGTACTGTGACATATGCAGAACAAATGTTATTTAAGATGTGGTTATAGACCTACTTTGATTGCCAGGAAAGAGTTTGTTTAAGTGAGGTCTTGTATAAACAATAATTTGTTAACCAAACCAACAAGACCCCTCTCAAAACCAAGGAAACACAGATTGATACTTGTTCATATGTTCTTGTTAAGCAAATATACCTCTTCATGTTTGTATTGCATTTGCACTGTGTAAGCAGCATCTAAAGGGATCCTTTTATTGTATTGAAACTAAAAGCTTTTGTAACCAGAAAGAACTTCTGCAGAAGATGGATGACCAATTTTTAAGCCTAATTGGTCCAAAATGTTGATTTCCTTAAAATAAGGTGTCCCTCTCTCCATTTTCTTTTAATTTCAAATTAATAATGCAGATTAAATATATGTCTGAAATGTGATGAATATCTGTCATAGCTTGAAGGATCCTTTAGAATGAATTCAGCAGGCTCACAATTAATAAAAAGTTGCAAAGAAAGCGTAGACAGGGCAAAAATGTCACTTCTCTTTTCCTAATCATTGGTTGGGAAAGCATATTATCATAAGATAGGTTTTGAAACTGTTCTCTGGCTTTGTGGTGGTGAGTCAGACACGAGAAGGTTGGCTCTGCGAGCATGAAATTCAGTCACATGTAGAGGGGATCTATTCTGCAGTGATCCTTTGTGTTGGGGTGAAATCCCCCTGCCTGTTCCAAACAAACGTCTTGGAAAGGGCCAAATCTGTTGTTCCTGTGGCCTTAGCACTGAGGCATAATAACATGGCCAGTTCTTGACACACTCCATCAAATCCTGCTGGCAGCAATCAAAACCTGTCCCTGAAACTGATGTTCAGTTGTGCAGTAGATGGCTACTTAGTAAACTTAAATCCATTAGTATGTAGAGGTCTATCATACTTCAAAATGTCTTTTAGTGGCATTTTTTGCTTTTATGTACATAAGGAACACATGGGGGAAAACTTGTTAGTACTAACTAATTCCAGTTTTATAATTCCAGTTTCTTCCTCCTCTGTGAGAAAATAAAAAAAAAATACATGTTTTTGTTTCCTGTAGGAGATTTGCATGGAAACCTGGATGATCTTTTGCTGATATTCTATAAGGTAAGTAGGTTCTCTGAGATGTAACATTTTTAGTTTATGACTTGATGTTATGCAAACATATTTATGTCTGACAGATTTATCACAGAACTGTACATGAGGTGTTTATATACCACACACAGAAATCCTGGAACAATTTGGTGTCTTTGTCGTAGCTTTTCCTTCTCTGTATCCTCCTGCTCACTGTGAAGGAGGAGATCTAGCAGACAGTTATTTTCCTAAAGGATGAGATGGAGCATGATGGAGCATGAGCCAAAACTTAAAAGGAGTCCTTGGAGTGTCTCCGAAGTTCTGCTTCTGTTTTAAATTCCATATTGACTGAAGTCTGCTAAAATAGAACCTTAGTTCCTGATGTACCACTACACCATGGATAATTTTGACTCTCCAGAAAAAATGCAGAAGCTTTCATTTAGGCCCTCCACTGATACCTGCAGGGTTTTTTTAAATTTTTTTTTAACAGGAGACAAAAAAGAGTGCTATTTAAAAGCTTTTTAAGCCTTGAAAGCAATCACATAGCCTTCACAAAATAGAAATTCTTTTGACACTCTTTACATATCCTTCTTTTCATGTTAAAAAAGCATAGCTCTGTTTTACTGATGTGAAAAAAAAATTAAGCTCCAGGCTATCTTTTCAACAATTAGATATTTAACTGAAGATGCAGGAAATGCTGTGTATGTAGTTTCACATTTATCTTCAGCATGAATCACCACCTTTCATTTAGCAGATACTTTCTTTGATTTGAGCTTTCCGGGGGAAAAGGTTTGTGTCTGATCCTTATACATTCATCTGCACTGAATCGAGACTGAAGTGACCTAAACCATGTGTTTAAATAATGTAATTCTCCTGCTGCTTCCAACTTCATTACACTTTATCTGACACTTGTTGAATGGAAATGTGGTTGTTTTGCCCAAGTGCATACCTGAAGCCTGTTGAAGTTTAGTTGAAGTAGAATCAGACCTTTTTACAGTGTTCTGCTTTTCTCATTAATCAACTATGTTTAGCTGTTCTTAGGCTTGCAGTATTTTAGCTGTTCGTTTAATTAGATAATCTCTCTTTTTGAAACTAGAATAAGAGTATGATACATACTGGTTTCATACACAGAACCTGGAATGGGGAAAATAACTATTTTGAAGATAAATGTTTGGACAGCTAAATAGTTATATTTGTAACTGCAGTCAGCCTGCATTTTACTCTTTTGGAGTAAACAGACAACGATTCTTTTTCCCCTCTCTAATGGATGCTATAAAGAGGAAAAAAAAACCTCTAAGCAACTCTAATCCTGACTTCAGTAAATTCAGAGCCAAAACTCCCACTGATTTCAGGGACTAGAGATAAGACCCAGTCATTCTCTGTTAAACTTCTAGGGAAGTCCTTCCACCAAACAGAATAAAATGGACAAATATTTTGTCATTTCAAAGTGGTTAAGAATATAGAGAGCACATATTAGAGCTCCTTAGTTATTTAGAAGCAAATTAGATGACACAGTATTTTCTGTCCCCTCTGAACAGTTACTCAGATGAGCAGCAAACCCAGCCAGCTTCTGGGATCCCTTTTTTCTCTTCATCCCTGACTCTGTTGCAGTTGGAAGGGATGTCATCCTCCAAGTTGGCATGAACCACCCATAACTTTAAACAAGAGGGTGCGATCCTAAACAGTGCCATGAGGAGTGTAGTGATCTCAGCCTGCACAAAGCCATGCAGAGCTGAAATGGGTTTTGGAGGGCTGCATGCAGACCAGGCACCTTGACCATGGGGCTCTGTCCAGGGCTTGTCACAGCAATTCTACAAATCACCAACAGCAAACACACAGAGGTTGCAATATATGGCTTATACATACAATGCTGTAGATTGTGTATAATTATACCTGGTTTGGGTGAGGCTAAGATAATTACTTTTTTCCTCAATAGCCAATTTGTGAGGTTTGTTCAGTCCCTGCATTAATCTCCATTAAATTACAGCATTTTCTGAAATTCCTTGAAACGCTTGAATTTTAAATTATATATCGCTAAGTTAGATTGTTAAATGGATGCTATGGATAGAAATAGCCTGAAGCTGTAGAAAGTGCCAACAACAAACGGAAGTTAATTAATCACTAACCCAGGAGATACAGTAATGATGCCCAGCAGCAAGTTGCTAATCATTAGAAGGCCTTGTTTGCCTCTCTGACATGTCAGAGGCTGCAACAGCCTTTAATTTAGTTTTGCTCTTATTGTTGGTCAAAACCACAGAAAAGTAAATAAAAACTTTGCATGAGTGTGGAACAACACTAAAATGTCACATTGAAGTTGCAAGTCCAAAACAAACTTGTTAAAAACTAAAATGGTGTGTAAGCTTTTCCAAAAGGATGACAGAGTCTGGAGAGTGCTTCAGTAGATTTGTCTTTCCAAGAGGATTGCAGCTACGGAGTGGTTGCATGTATACTCACAATCTATTGGTGATTCACATGCCTATTGGTTTTAAGGCAAAGCTTTTATTAATTCATCTTTCCAGAAGCTGCTGCTGAGTTTCTGCTGTCTGTTCCACTCCTGAAATCCATCCTCTCTCTTTTTTAAAGCCGCTACAACCCACTACATTAGCGGAGTCTCATACATTGCCACTCCTGTGAGCACAGAACAATCACAGGCCTCTTCTAAGTAAACCTGGAAAGGGCTCAGGACAAGCAAAATCCAAGGAAGCTGTATTTACAGCAGTCAGGATCAAGAGACCAGGATTCACTACTGCATCCTGACATAACAGCACAGGACACTGACTGGGACAAAAAATAATATATTCCTTATGAATTCAAATTAAACATTTAATTGAGCCCCTGGCCAACTCATGCATCCTGCAATAAACCTGCTAAGGCAGTATACCTGGGAATGCCATAGAAATGCTTGACACTGACACAGTAGCTGTCTTCAAAAAGTGGGATGTCTTGTAATGCTGCCAGACCTGTTAAGAGTGGCTTCCACAGTTATGATGTGATTTTATAGATGTTCTATTGATAATTCGTGTGCATATCAGTTGTGAGAACAGAGGTTTCCTTTTTCTGGCAAATCAAAGGTTGAAATAATATTTCTGATACTCATGACTGGAAATGAGGAAGGTACGTATAGTTGATGCTATGTTTTCTGTAAGCTGATGGCACCCATTGATGTACTGGTAATTAATCTAATGAAACATACCATCAATTCAAACTACTAGCTTTTGATGAGTAACCATTCATAATAAAGCATTGCTGTATATCTTCAGAGAAAAAATAAGGTAAGAAATACCTGTATGTACAGCCTCTCAGGTTTGTGAGCTTTCAAGTATATTCTTGCCCTGATGGGGACAAAGTGCCATGTGAGTAAAATTCAAGTAGTGCTTTCAGGATTAAAGCAACTGAAATCAAACTCTTCAGAATTTTGTATTAAGATTTTATATCCTCTGGACTATAGTCTTTCTCAGGAGTTTTGGAAGCATACACTGCAAACAATGTAAATATATTAAATCCATTTTCTAACCACATAAGGAAACATAAGGACCTTCAAACTTGTTTCAGAAGACAATTTTCCATGGATTTCCTATCTTCCATTCAAAGTGAATGACTCCCTTCTGTTTGCAAGTGCACAATTTCCTGGAGACAGTTGCATTAATGGAAAAGTATATTTTATTACAAGACTGATGTCCCTTTTGGTCCCATTTAATTTAACAGATAGAGGAAAGGATTAGAGATGGCATCATAAGAACAGCTAGAGAGGTCATCTCTTCTCTGATGGCTCATACGGGTTGTCTGATATGGAGGTTTTTATTCTAAGCAGCAGAAATAAAGAAATGCTATATTTTAGATTTCTCTATTATGCAACGGGTTTTCAGATTTTCTAACAATGTGATCTCATTTAAATACTATTTCCTTTATTATAGTACCATAGCAGCATCTCTAAACATCCTTTTTTTTGTTTGTTTCTTCCTGCAGAATGGCGTGCCTTCAGAACAAAACCGTTATGTCTTTAATGGTGATTATGTTGACAGAGGGAAAAATTCTATGGAAATACTTATAATCTTATTTGCATTTTTTCTTATCTACCCCAATAATATATCCTTGAATAGAGGAAACCATGAAGACTACCTGATGAACATGAGGTAGATTTTGGAGGGCAGGGTGGGTGGTATCTGGCCTTTCACTAGAAATGTTTGAGCTTTTGAATGCTACTTTAGCCGCTGTGACACTCTAAAATACAAATAATATTTTATTAAGTATTCAGGTGTAGCTTTTTATCTTCAAGATGGGGGGGGGAGGGACATCCTCATTACACACAGGAGAACCATATCTTGTCTCTGACCTAGTCACAATCCACTGAAGTCAGAGGCTTTAGTGCAGCTTCCAGAGTATCAAAATTGGGGAAGGAGGACAGATGGAAGGATATTTGAGTTAAAGCATATATTTAGTTAAAGCTGATATTTCAGTTAACTTTCGACTAAGATGTCACTTCTCAAACACAAGGGGCAGGTAAATATTCTAGCTTCCACCCAGGGGAGGTTCACTGGTTGGGAGGTGTCATCTGTCCCATTGCAGAAACAGCTAAGACTCTGTTTTCTAATGCAGACATTTGTACTCAGCTGTACAGCACTGCCAAGGGAGTGAGCACAGCCAGTGGCTCTGGCTGTGAAAATGTGACTTGTAGAAAAAATCATCTCACAGATGTGGGAAGAACTCCTCACTCTTAGTCCCTCCAATTCTAAGCCATCCCAGTAAGTCGTTGGTTGACTGACTGGTGGGTAACCTGTTGACCCCCTTCTATCATTCATGTGTCCACACAGAATACAGTGCTGTTTTAACACAGGCACAGACCTGGGTTAGAGGCCCACAGTCACGTCCTATTAATGATGCACATAAGATAATCAGTTTCACATACTTACTTTTTCAGCACTTAATTTAAAAAATAAATTAAAAAAACCCAAAACCGACAAACATAAACCCAGATCAGTTACTTAATTTATGAGGTAGGAAAATTCCCACCCATAGCAGAAAATATTAACAAAAGCTGTGATGGTATGGAGCGCACAGATGCATTCCTGTGTATGGCTCTTTGCTGGGCATTTTGATTATCAGTGCTGCACATACATAAATTTGAAAGCTGAGTGTTGTGAAAATGCCCCTTGACCAAGGATATCTTGGTGTTACAAGAACGAGGTATCAAAATCTTTGACCCTTGTGGGGGAAAAGACATAATAGATGGCATTGTCTAAGAAAGTTACATGTTCAAGGCCAGGTTGGATGGAGCTCTGAGCAACCTGGTTTAGTGAAAGGTGTCCCTGCCCATGGCAACGGGGTTGGAACCAGATGATCTGTGAGGTCCCTTCCAATCCAAACCATTCCATGATATGATTCTCTGATGATATGATATATGATATGATATATGGTATGGTATGATATGATATGATATGATATGATATGATATGATATGATATGATATGATATGATATGATATGATAT